TGAATCGGTGCTCTGGATTCAGAATACTGGAGGATTAGGCTAAGGTGGGGAGACTGGGAAGCAGGCAGTGGATGAGTGTGTTCTGGGTGGATCTGGGTGTGTTCCTCCTTCATGCCCCCAAGCTAGCTGTAGCTTTCCCTGCTGACTACACAGCCCCGTTCCCAGGCCTGACTCAGGAGGAAGGAGAGGAAGCCCAGCAGGGGATGGAGAAAAAGTCTGGATGGGCTGAGTGTCCCCTTCCCTCATCTGGACCTCAGCTCTGCCATGCTCACCATGGGCAGGCTAAACACCATCAGATAATTTATGTTGAATTAGGCACTTAAATACTTAAAGCACATGGCAGGCACTTTTAAAGGGCTTGGAGGTTTTCCATTGAGAAGATCTGTAGGTAGATGCTTTGGAAATTGGATGTAACATATTTTTGTAGAAGTCTTGAGGAAATGTGTGCTGTGTTGATACAATCCTGATGGAATCATTGTCTTCTGGTCTCAAGCATGCCCAGGTCAGGATTTGGGAGGGCTTTACTCGAAGGGGTCTCTCAGGACTCCTGGAGTGTTACCCAGAACTTAAAAAGTGAGCTGGACTATGGTCCATACTCACCTTGGACCCCAAAATACCTGTGATGTGATTTAGCTGTACAGCAGCTGTTTTTCCCTGATCACCTATGAAACATGTCTCTTAGGAGGCCATGGGATAAGCACACGGGGGAAATTTTTCAGCAAAGCAGATGAGAGAGGCAAGCTTAGCACCTGCCAAGGCGTTTGATAACAGAATCTCAGGATAGGAAACAAGAAGCTGGAGCGTGTTATTGGTTTACCCATAGGGCTCTTACTTGAAATGGAGAATTACCTTATGTTGGGATAATATCAGGATAAGGCTGCTGTGCTCATTACCCTTACAGCCATGGTTTTGTTGAACTGGTTAGGCCTCCCTATTATTCTGGAATAAGGACCCATGCTAAGCAAAGTACTGTGGTCTTGTTTTTAGGTCTAGGTTGGGCATTGTATCAGTCAGCTATTGCTCCAATAATGCTGTGTAACAAACCACTTCAGAACTCATTGGCTTACAATGGTAACAATTTACTCTGGCAGATTTTGGGATTGGCTGGAGCAGCTCTGTTGAGGCAGACCTGGTCTCAGCTGGGCTCCACTGGGGCAGCTCTGCTCCATTTGTCCTTCATCTCCCTAGAACCAACTGGCTAGCTGGGGCATGCCCTCTCAACGTAATGGCAAAGGCACAAGAGGCCAAGCTCAACCACACACGTGCTTTTTATGCCTCTGCTTGCATTATACCTGCTAATATCCCATTGGCCAAGCAAGTCAGATGAACAGAGCCCTACGTGGCTGGCCTCCCCACCAGTCAATTTAGTCTTAACTGCCTTCTCTCCTGATTCTGCTGCTCACCTGGTCCTTGACTGTCCTTCATTTACTCTGCATGTCAGGCTGGCTGTCCCTTCCTCCTGGAACTCTCAAACCCTGCAGATCCATATTCCTTGCTTGCTTAGTTCACTTGAAGTGGGGAGCCCTACCCTGATGCCTTTTTCAAAAATAGCCACCACCACTGTGTCCACTTTCCCTCTCCCCTTCGCCCACTTGGTATTTTTCTAGGATTTGTCACCTCTGACATGGTGTTATTGTCTTCCTCCTCCACTACAAGGTGAGCTTCATGGAGGCAGGGACTTTGTCTTGCTGCTTGTGAGATCTCTAGTGTCTACAGGACTACCTGGCACATAATAGATTCCCAGTAGGTGTCATAATGAATGGCTGGAAGGTTATTCAGGGTAAACTTAAACTCTAGTAACATGTCACTCACCCTTCTGAGGCCCTATCTTCCATTTTTAGACTCCTCTAAGGAAAGTTTTTCTATTTAGATTATACTAATATCATCTCCCCATAGTTTTAAAAAACTCTTTGATTCTAGTTATGCCTTCAAGAGCCTTGTAGAGAGAAAAAGGACATTCTCTGTCATCTGTGTTGTCCATTTACTTGTGTTACACCCGATTTAACTTGTTAATAACCTCACAGAAAAGGAAGGACATAAAAGAAAACTCAAATTGTATGTAATTCCACTACCTATAACTGCTGCTAGCATTTTGTGTATTTCCTTAAAGTTTGTCTAAACCGTTTTAACATAAAAATCCATATTGAGCTCATGTGGCAGTTTTATATCCTAGTTTTTCTCCATAATATTGTATCTAAAGCATTTTTCTGAATCATTAAATTCCCATGATATTTTTAGGGACAGCCTAGTGTTATACAGAAATCTCCAAATTTAACTATTTTTCTATGGTTAAATCTTTGGATTGTTGAACATTTAGATTAAGTTTTTAAGTAATTTTATAAGTAATGCTTGTAGATGGATATTTGATGGTGTTGGAGGTTATTACCTCACGATAGACAAGAAGGGTAAGCTTTCTGGGTGAAAGAGGATGGACTTTTTGTGGTAAGATCCTGCAAATTTGTTAAATTGCTTTCTAGAAAGACTGTACAGTTAAAATTCCCTTAAGCACTATAAACTTTCCCATATCACCACACCTTTACCAGCAGTGAGAATTTTCTTTTCAAAATTTGTCACCTTCCTAAATAAAAAAGAAGTTGAGGCCTGGAGCAGTGGCTTATGCCTGTAATCCCAGCACTTTGGGAGACCAAGGATCACTGGAGTCCAGCAGTCCGAGACCAGCCTGAGAAATGTAGTGAGACCCCATCTCTACAAATAATAAAAACAGCTAGGGGTGGTGGCATGTGCCTGTGGTCCCAGCTACTGGGGAGGCTGTGGTGGGAGGATCACTTGAGCCCAGGAGGTTGAGGCTGCAGTGAGCCGTGATTGTGCCATGGCACTCCAGTCTAAGAGACAGAGTGAGACCCCATCTCAAACAAACAAAAAAAAAGAGATTGCAATTGTTTTTCAATGTTTACTGGCCATGGAAAGAGAAAGAGAGAGAATTAATTGCTAGTTTATGTCCTTTGTTTCTGATGGTGTTTTAGTATTTTTAACTGTCTGTAAAAGCTTTTTACATATAAAAATATTGAGCTTAGCCTTTATTTTTGTTATTGTTGTTGCAAATAATTTTCTCATGTTGATGACCTTTTGTTTATGGGGTCTGTTGGGAGCCAAAGCTAAATATTGTTATATATTCACATCTGTCAGTCTTTTTCTTTGTGATTCTAGAAAATACTGGGAGTTCCAGGAACTCCAGTGTGATTCAGGGGACTTTCTGAATTTGTCTCCCTTCCTCTCCGTGGAGAAAAAAAAAAAAAGTCACATTATTATGGATTTGGCCTATTAAAAATTGTCCTTTTAAAAGAGCATAACATTGAAATGTGATTTGTATGTGCGTTTGTTTACTAGGACTGTCATAAAAAAATACCACACACCGGGTGGCTTAAACAACAGACACTTATTTTCTCTCAGTTCTGGAGGCTAGAAGTCCATGGTCAAAGTTCCAGCAACTTCAGTTTCTGGCTAGGGCTCTCTTCCTGGCTTGCAGACAGCCACCTTCCTGCTGTGTCCTCATGTGGCTTTTCCTCTTTACATGTGCCAGGTGAGGGAGAGAGAGGGCTCTGGTTTCTCTTCCTCTTCTAATAAGGACACCAGTCCTATTAGACTAAGGCCCCATCCCAACCTAGTTAAAGGAGGACTAGGACCTCATTCAACCTTAATTACTTTCCTAAAGGCTCTGTCTCCAAATATAGTTACATTGTGGGTTAAGGCTTCAACATACGAATTTTGGGAGGACACAATTCAGTCCATAATATTATGATTGAGCAGTGTTTATAGCATCAAATCTGGGAACCAAGAGAGATTGTCTGTCCATAATCCCATAGATGAGAGACCCAGCCCTTGAAAGAGTCACATCACCTTTCAGGATACAGCCCAGCCCCAAACCACTTGCTTCTAAGTCAGTCTTCTTTCCCCAAATCCCTTATCAAAATGGGCCTAGGACATTTAGGAGCCATGTACTAAACAAAGGGGTAAAAGGTGCTTCCCTTAGTGTATTCTGTAGGGACAAGGACTCTGTTCTATATATATATATATATATTTTTTTTTTTTGGAGACAGAGTCTCACTCTGTTGCCCAGGCTGAAGTACAGTGGTGCTATCTGGGCTCACTGCAACCTCTGCCTTCCAAGTAGCTGAGATTACAGGTGCACCCCGCCACGCCCAGCTAATTTTTTGTATTTTAGTAGAGATAGGGTTTCACTGTGTTGCCCAGGCTGGTCTCGAACTCCTGAGCTCAGGGAATCCGCCTGCCTTGACCTCCCAAAGTGCTGGGATTATAGGCGTGAGCCACTGCGCCCAGCCTGTTCTATATTTCTTTTTACCCTCATTGCCTAAGATAGTTTTTGATCATGCTATACATTTCATGTATATTTGTCGAATTGTACAGAGTTCAGAACCTGGTACATTGACTACAGCAGTGCCCAGGGAAACATTTCCAGTGGTAAATTATTTGGGAAAATTCCCTCTCCCCCACATTCCACCTCTTGACAAGAGCTGCCTAAAATGCTGTCTGGACAGCAGCCCACACCATGTGAACTTCCAAGAATCAACGCATCTAGAATGCATCTGACAAGCTCAGATCTGGTGTGTTATATCTCTTCCCTTTAAAAAAAAAAAAAACCCTCACCTAAATATAGTTTGCTTCTAAAAACTGTCTCTAAATGACTGTGTTTTACCCTGGATAAGTTCTCCCCAGTGCATCCTGATGCTGGAGCATGAAAAGGAAGGTAAACGCATGAAATCAAATGGTGATTGCTAACAATGAAATTTGGGCTCATAAATCAAGGATATTATTCAAAACTGTGAGGTAAATTAGCCTCATTCATTCTGATAGGGCTAGATAGACTCTATGGCTGTATGTGCCTTCTTTAATTAACATGCTGAAAAGATGTTCTGATTGGGATTATTAATGAATGCAGTGGAAATGTTTGCTGCTTAGAAGACTTCTGCCACAGACGGTTTACAAACCACCCCCCACCCCGCCTTTTTCTTTTTCCACAGATTCCTTACATGGCTTAACAGATGGAGTATTCATCTTTGAAGCTGTTTCCACAGAAGATAGCAAAACCATACAGGGCTATGATGCGATTGTGGTTGAACAATGGACAGTCCTGGAAGTAAGTGTGGGGTTGGCAGCCCTGCTTCTTTTGTTTAGACAGCAATTGTTTTATCCGCCTGCTCCATCTGACCGTGGGGCTGTTGCTCAGCTGTGGCTTTCTTCTGAGAGGGAGCTGACCTGGTAGATCCTAGAAGGACCCCCTTAATCCTTTCATTCCCCTCTTTTCCCACCTCCAGGTAGGGGTGGGCCCTGCTCTTCCCCTTCTGCAGGAAAAGCACATTGCGTGTGCCTGGCCATTTGGTGGAAGGAGACTTGTCTTTCATTAATTTGCATATAACTGACAACTCTAAGTGATATAAATGAGGCCACATAGTTTGTGGCCTCCGTAATAATCAGAGCGGCATCATTGTCAGAACCAAACCCCGTGGCTCCCTCTGCCAGCTATCCTTAGAGTTATGTACCTGAGCTCACTTAATCTTCACAATAAGCCTTTTAAGTAAATACTGTTATTGCCCCTGTTATATAGATGAGGAAACTGAGGCACAGAGAGGTTAGGTCCCTGGTCCAAGATTACACATTAAATACTGAAGAATGTATTTGAGAAATGTTGACTCATGAGGCCACCAAATTGCTGTGGGCAGGGGAATTCCTCAAACCATGTTCTGCTGGGACTTTGGAGGAGCGAATTTACTCCTAAGATTCACTAGTGTGTACCTGAAGGGCATTTCTCTAACTATGGAAGCGTGACTTTTTAGCCTTGTCTCTTGTATACACAGCATCTGGGATATAAAGGGGGAAGCTATTTGGACATAGAGAACTGAATTCTTGTTTTTTTTTTGTTTTTTTTTTGTTTTTTTGTTTTTTTTTGTTTTTTGAGATAGCTTCTTGCTCTGTCGCTCAGGCTGGAGTGCAGTGGCACGATCTTGGCTCACTGCAACCTCCGCCTCCCGGGTTCAAGCGATTCTCCTGCCACAGCCTCCAGAGTAGCTGGGACTACAGGCACCCACCACCACGCCCAGCTAATTTTTGTATTTTTAGTAAAGACAGGCTCTCACCATGTTGGCCAGGCTGGTCTCAAACTCTTGACCTCAAGTGATCTGCCTGCCTTGGCCTTTAGAAGTGCTGGGATTACACCGTGAGCCACCGTGCCCAGCCATGGGCATAGAGAACTGATTTCTGAACACCATGGAAGAACACAGGATTAGCATTGCTGGGAGGGCCTCTGCCAAACAGGGCTCTCCAGGCCGAGGGAAGACAGGGGTGGATACAACTCTTTGTGAGGAGTGTGGGGCGCTGAGACCCACTAGACAGCCAGTGCTTGCCATACCCTTGTGCCTGCCAGAACTGCAGCCTCGAGGCAGTCCCTTGCCTGGTTATTGAAGTGGAGATGGGATGGGGCATGAGTTGGATGTCTCCCGGGACACTATGACTCAGCTTTGAAGCTGCAGCGGTTCCCAGCATGCGTGAAGTGAGGAGCAAGGCTGTTGGGGGCATGCCTGCGTCTGAACAGGGATGAGAAAGAACTGCTTGCAAGTGTGATAGTAATGGAGTACCTGAAGGAACTAGAGTCGTCAGAAGCAGGAGTTGGAAAGTCACAGCATCCGGGGCTGGTTAGCGAAGGGGCCAGAAGTCCTGAGGGAAGTAAGGAACCAGGTGACGACCTGGTGTGAGATCAGCTCCACCAGTTACTCCTGTGTGACCGTGGGGCCCATGGTCTCTCCAGGGTCCATGCTCCTAACTAGAAATGGGATGCAGAGGAAGTAAGGCTCAGTCCAAGATGCCAAGCGAGTGTGGGCAGGTCCTGTCACCTCTCAGGACCCTGTCCTTCCTCAGCTGTAGCTGGGCAGGTCACATGGCCCATCACGTGTGGTGGAGTGAAGGCTCCAGGTGGTGGTGAAATATGAAATGCCAAGAGTTGAGGATCTGAAGGACTGAGCAGCCGGCATTCAGTTTGCTCTGTAACATTTGGCTGTTAACAGTAGCGATGCATGGCTGCACCCAAAACATGTGCCTGAGCTGAGTGATTGGCAGACCATGGGGATGTGTGTAAAATTCCTGCTGTCTGTATATTAAAATGGCTGTTAAGGGAGGGCTCTGTGGTTCCTCAAAAAAGATGACTTGATGGCAGTGATCCAAAATCATCTATAAAATGGTTCTTAAAAATTAGTGTGACTGCAGGACCAGTAGCATCAGCATCACGTGGGAAGTTGTTAGAAATGCAGATTCTTGGACCCCACTCCAGATCTGCTGAACCCTCTGGGGGGGGGGGCCCTGGCAGTCTGCATTTTAGCAAGCCCTGCAGGAAATTCTGAGGCTCACTCCATTTGAAGAACCAGGGTGGGTACAGATGCCACTCCCATGTTGGAACTGTACCTCACAAGGTGATGGATTTGAAAGGGGGGACCCTGGAAGTGATAAGGCTGGGAAGGCTCCGCCCTCATGGATGGGAATGAATGCCCTTAGAAGAGAGGCTGCAGACCACTGCCTCCCCTTTTTGGCCTTCCACCTTTGATCATGCAAGGACGCCTACAGGGCACTATCTATGAGGAATGGGCCTTTGCCAGACATGGAACCTGTTGGTCAGTGTCAAGATGCCTGATCTTGGACTGCCAGCCTCCAGAAATGTGAGAAACAAGTTTCTATTGTTTATAAATTACACAGCCTGTGGTATATTGTCATAGGAATAGGAATGGACTGAGACAGAAATTGGTACCAAGAAGTGGGGCTGTTGCTACAACAAATACTTGAAAGTGTAGAAATGACTTTGGAACTGGGTAATGGGTAGATGCTAGAAGAGTCTGGACATGCAGGCTAGAAAGAGCCTAGATTGCTGTGAATGGAGTGTTAGGGTGATTCTGTTGAGGGCTCAGAAGAAGAGGAGAGCTGTAGAGAGGCCTCAGACTTCTCAGAAATTATCTAAGTGTCATGATCAGAATGTTGGTAGAAATATGGACAGTAAAGGCCATTCTGCTGAGGTCTTAGATGGAAATGAGGAACAAGGTATTGGAAACTGGAGGAAAGGCCATCCTTGTTATAAAGTGGCAAAGAACTTGGCTAAATTGTGTTCGTGTCCTAGTGCTTTGTGGAAGGCAGAACCAAAGAGGGATGAACTAGGATATTTGGTGGAAGAAATCTCTAAGCAAAGTATTCAGGGTGCAGTGTAGCTGTTCTTGGCTGCTGATAGTAAAATGCAAGAAGAGAGAAACAAACTGAAAACAGAGTTTGTGATCAGAAGGGAAGCAGAACTTAAAGATTTGGAAAATTCTCAGCCTGGCTTTGTTGTCAAAAATGAAAAAGTGTATTCAGAAGAGAAAACCAAGGTTGGCCAAGCTACTGTTTGATAGGGAGATTGGTGCTGGTGGAAGGATGCCATATGCTATTCACCAAGACAATGAAAGAAAGACCTGAAGGCATTTCTGAGATCCTCAAGGCTGCTGCTCCCATCAGAGGCCTGGAATGCCAACGCCTGGGGGACAGAACTGTGTCAAAGGAGGTGACTTGGGCATCCTCAGTATCTTCAGGCTCACTGCCCAGTGCTGTCTCAAGTTTCTGCTCCACATGGTCAGGCTAACACAGCCTCTGAGATTGACATCTCCTGAAAGCAGATGGAGGAGAGATCTTGTGGGAAGACTGTACTCCTTGGTTTATGGGTTTCTCTTCCTCTTTGCAGCTGGTGGAAACAACCTTCAGGAGTCAGCTCTGAGGTCACCTCCTGCAGGGTGAAAGAGCGCTCCTCTGTGTTCTCATAACTCTCTGGGCATGACTCTATCACAGCTCCTGTTGTACTCTATCAATGTTATTTATTTGTCCACTTTCCTCCCTCCACTGTGAGTTTCTTGGTCTGGGAATATTCATCTTTGTTCTCCAAGGCACTCCAGTAAATGCTTGCTGATTGGGTTGAAGGCTTTTTGGTTCAGCCCAAGGTAGACTGGTGTTTCTCAAAATTGAGCTCGTATCAGAATCACCTGGAGAGCTTTTAAAAACACAGCTATCCAGGCTCTACCCCTACTTCCTATTCAATGGGTGTCTTAGTCTGCTTGGGCTGCCTAACAAAATACCAGACTAGACAGATTAAACAACAGAAATTTCTTTCCTCTCAGTTCTGGAGGCTGAAAAGTCCAAGATCAAGATTCTGTTGGGGTTTGGTTTCTGGTGAGGGCTCTCTTCCTGGCTTGCAGATGGCTTCCTTCTCACTGTATCCTCACATAGCTTTGCCCCTGAGCATGCACAGGTGGGAGGGGGCCACTCTGGTGTCTCTTCTTATAAGGACACTAATCTTGTTGGATCAGGGCCCAATCTTATGACTTCGTTTAACCTTAATTGCTTCTGTAAAGGCCCCATCTCCAAACACAGCCGAACTAGGGTTTGAAGCCTCAACATACACACTGTGGGAGGATATAAAATATTTAGTCTATAACGGTGGCTCTGAGATGGGGCCCAAGAATTTGCATTTCTAAGACATTTTCAGATGAGCTGCTGCTGCTGCTGTGGGAACCCTACCTTGAGAATCCCTGTCTTAGGGGAACTAAGTATAGACAGCTCTGTAACCAGCACAGCCCAGCAATGTCCAGTCCAGGACAGGTTCACCCACAGCTCAGCTCTTTGAAGAGGCTCTGTCAGTCCCTGATTTGGGCCTGCAGACAGCCCCTCTCCTGCCTGCCCCTCTCTAAGGCTGAGGGTATTTTTCAAACTCTCACATCTTCTACCCTCTACCAACTACTACTTTTCCCCACCCTTTTGGCCTCTAGGAAAGATTTTTCCTTTTTAAGTCCTCAGCAGGTCCCTTTTGGCTTCTGGTTAACTGCTTTTCTGGTAACCACAGTCCTCCCAGGCAGGCCTATAATCTCTAGGGCTCTGACCACAAAATGTCCCGGACCAGTTCTTTCTCATGTCTCACAGTGGGGCCTGGTCTGTCCCTTTCCTGCTTCATTACTCCTCCTGTGCTGATTCCTCAGCTCTGTGTAGATGTGCCATTCCAATTCCACCTTGTCTCGCTGGCTTCCCTCTCCACGTGCATGTACACATGCACACACGCACATGCACACCCGAAAATGTAGT